TATGAAATAACCTCCAAAATTGCAGACTGTGAATCCTGTGCTTTTCTGAGGTTTTGCAATCACTCTGATTGCTTGCTGGATTTCTGCTGTCTGAGTCCATGTGCTGTGTGTCTGGCCATCTGAGTGTCTGTGGGTGCGTGTGTGCAGCTGGATGTGTGGTTTGTGGCCCGCAGGCCTGATAGGAACCCTGTGCCGTCAGCGAGCAGCTTAGAAGGGGAAGGTAGGCCCATGGTAGCCAAAATTAAGTGTGAGCGAGCAGAAGTAGGCAAAAAAGGACAAAAAAGGTGGTGCCTTTAGGTAGGCCAAAGTAGCACTCTGAGGTCCGATAGGGTTGGTTCTAGGAGGATACTGGACCTACTACCGGTCAGGGTAGAGTCTGAGTCTAGGGCCTGCAAGGGGAAACCGAACCACGATGATGCTCCTGCCAAAAAGGAAGGGAACCGGTATGCCCTGTAGGCCGAGCTGCTTGGAAAGTCACCGCGGTGAAGCAGCAGCCAAGTATTTCAGGAGGAGCAGTGAGTTGCTCCGCCTCTTTCTTCATGCAGCCAGGCAGCAATGCCGCTGGACCGTGCACTTGGCAAGTGTAGCACCAAGCAGCAGCAGCTGCCCACCCTGGCTTTGGTGTTTAAGGCCCAGGGTGAGTTAGGAGAACGGCATGCCTATGGAGGAGAAGTGACAGAGGAAGGAGGAGGAGGAGAAGAGTGAAGTCGAAGGCTAATCTTGGCTATGGATTACTGCATCTTCACCTCCTTTGTTGGCGCTGCACCTGAAAGGGCCCTGGCTGCGCATTCCGATGCATGGAGGGCTCCAGATGCTGAAGTACTGAGTGTCCTTTTAACAGGGGGGGGGGGGGGGGGGGCGGGGGTGTCGTTAAACTGCCGTTAAAAGCCGTTTAATTCCCCCTAAGCCCGTTAAATTCCCATTGAATCAAAAATGGGAGGGATCCTGCCATTTTCTTTTCAACGGATTGGGTCGGCGGGTCAGGTACGTGGCCCAGCACCCCTGCACGATTCAACCCCCCCCTCAAAACACCCCCTGCCCCCCCCTAAATCCCCGCAGAGATCTACTTTTCGGTTTTTTTCCCCTTATTCTTTGTCGGTGAAAAACATATCCACAGGTGGCGTTGACATGCGTCAAATTGGCTGTTCAACGCCAGTGCGTCAAATTGGCTGTTCAACGCCAGTTCACCGCACATTCGACGTGCGTTAAATTATTTAATGCATACCCCACGTTGAATCCAAATCCAGACACTCAGCTAAAAGTAGGCTTAGCATGCAAGGTAGGAAGAGCCAAAAGAGCTTTGCGTTGTTCTTTGAACATCCGGGCTAGGCCTGGATGAGCCGCCATAGCCGGATGCTCACCCAAGTAGTGGTAGCAGGTGCAGAAGGTCATAGGTGGACTTCTTGTAAGGCCCGCAGTAAGGGGGAGATTCGGACATATGATTCTGGCACATTCTTATGACTAATAAGATGTGGGTGCAGTTGATGAGGGGGAGAGATGGAGGCGAGACGAGGGGGAAGTGACATTGGTTGCAGGTCTTCTTCTTCTTCTTCTTCTTCTTCTTCTTCTTCTTCTTCTTCTTCTTCTTCTTCTCCTTCTTCTTCTTCTTCCATTCTCCATTCTTCTTCTTCCCTTGACTGTTACTCTTTCCAATCTCTTTCGTTTGAGTTGCAATTGAATAGCATTGTCTCTTCATGGGTTTTGCATTGTGAGATTCTCAGGATCATAATATCGACCAATACCTTGGAGAAACTTACTTTCAAACCACCAGGACATCACCCAGGCAAACTCGAGATTCGAAATTGAGCCAATCCAAAAACTTCGGACGCTCGGGGCTACCGGACCAAAATGGCTGGCGGCACCACTCAAAAGAAAAGAAGAAGCATCGCGCTGGTGTTTCGGCAGAGCTTAACGCGCAGCGGGATCCGCCACAGCAAAAGAGGCTCCGATGAGCTGGTGCTTTCACCAAATGGTCACCATACCAGCAGTGGACTTCACACCACAAAGTATCCTGCCTGACTACATCTGATTTGTCCATGTTGAGATTAGACCCTAATTGCCACCTTGATCCTTTGTTTAGCCAACAATGGCAGACATACCTTCAGTCGACGAGCGGGGTTCATTCTTCCTTCTCTCCAAGGAACGTGCATGCAATTTTTTGCTCAATCCCAGCCTGGAAAGAAGAAAGCGCCAGATAGGATTTTTTCAATACACTTATCCAGTACTTCCCTGTGTGTGTCATTTGCCTCCCGGCAAAAACAGACCTTGAACTCCTTCATTTCCATTGGATTTTGCTGTCACTGCAGTCATCCAGCAATCAACCCCCAAGTCTCTCCGTGGGGGCAAGGGAGGAGACGATAGAAGCACCCGCAGTTGAGATGCTGTACCACACAGCCCACGTCGTACACCCTGCGCACAGAGTGTGATCCACTACACATAGCAGCATAGCAACTGCCCCAAATAGCGCTTCGCAGCACACACCCTACCCACATAGTACGACACAGCACACATAGCACCCAGCCCACGCCCTACTACGCAGCACACACCCGACCCACATAGTACGACACAGCACACACCCGACCCACATAGTACGACACAGCACACATAGCACCCACCCCACGCAGTACTACCCAGCACACACAGCACCCCATCCACATAGTCCCCCCCACTCAGATAGCACCCAGCACACACCCCTACCACCAGGCCACGCAGTGACACCCATTATGCATAGCAACTGGCCCAAGTGGTACTACACAGTACACACCCAACCCACATGGTACTACGTAGCACACATAAAGCCCACCCCACGCAGTACTACCCAGCACACACAGCGCCCCATCCACATAGTCGCCCCCACTCAGATAGCACCCAGCCCACACCCCAACCACCCGGCCACGCAGTGACACCCAGTGCGCATAGCACCCAACTCACATCGCACATGGTGCACATAGCACCCAGCACACCTAGGGGAACCTAGGAAGCACAGCAGCCAGCCCATTCAACATACCAGCCAGCTCAACATAGTGCAAGTGCAAACGGCCAGGCCAGAATTAGGCCTTCCATTCTCTCATGGGTTCTGTGGGCCCCCGTGCCTGCTCTCTGAGCTGCAGGTGGAGTCCCAGCGGGCAACCAACTTGGTTTTCGTTATATATTTTCCCCTTCTACAGCATCATGCACCCCTTCAACATCCATGATTATTTTCACAAATTTTCAGATTGTTTTTGCAACTATATGAGAGAGAAAAATCGCCGGCGCTGGGAAACTCAGTTCCTTATGCCCCCTCCCTCAAACCGCTGAACTCTGATAGGCCGAGTCGATCCACAGCACGCCGTTAAATTACCAGTGCAGCAGACCGTCATAAACACCCCACTGACGCTGGCCACGCTGCTGACATTTGATGGGTTGGAGGAACAGGTTCCATGCGTCGTGCTCCGCAACTGCTGCGACCCCACAGCTGTCCATGCCTAGACCTGTCAAATTTCCAGGGACGAAAGAGAAGTAGTGGAAAGAAAGGGACACTAGTGTGCAAAGGGTATGCTGCCCTGTGATGAGACTTACTGCCTGCAGCCATGGCCAGCCCTATGGTCAGACATACTGCCTGCAGCCATAGCCATAGCCATAGCTTACAGCAGCATTTGGTCCCTTTCCTTGAGCAATCTACTGTGGTGGAAGGAAGGGCGTGTTAGAAATGATCCTCATGAATGGTATTAACTGTATGAATGGTACACACGGCATAATAAACGAGTGGTGGCCACCCTGCCAGACACATTCAGGCCTGGAGGCCAAGGTGGCCACCTTGCTGGAGGAGCCAGCACTGCTCAGTGCCCGATGAAAGAAGCTGCTGCGGTGGCAGCGAGAAGGAAGGACATGGGCACCAGCCATGGCCAGCTTGAGTGCACCATAACTGGATGGTGGGAAGTGCAGTGATCCTAGAGAGAGAGACACTCAGAGGGAAGGTCGGCAGTGGGAACGAGGCACATACCTGCTGTTGACAAGGGTAGGCTATATGGCCAGAGTCTTCAAGCGGCATCAAGCAATTGATGCATGGACCGTTTGCTGGCATGTAGATAGGCTAGAGAAGTAGGAGCTAGGAAGTAGGATGCGTGTTCAGGATGCCAGCAGTAGTAGTACATTGTCAGAGTTTTGATGATCAGAGGCAGCGGAAGTGCTTTTGCTTTCTCTATCAAGAGACTTCGGTGTATTGCTCGTTCCTATTTGGTGTGCATTTCGCTTTGATTTCTGCTTTCAATTCGGCTCAATTATGTCTGGCCTTATGTGAGATGCCACAAATCTGGTTTATTGTTGTTCTCATTGCTCACTTCCTTGCACAAGGTTCAGACTGGACTTTATATTAGGTGACATTTATGGGACTTGGAGAGAGACTACTATTATTCGCTGTTAAGTCGGAGAGACTACTGTTATTTGGCTGTTAAGTCACACAGCTGTCACACTCTTCTTCTTATGCTTTTCCCACACTTCATCCCCATCTCTCGCCCCCATCCTTATCCGTAGATTTCTCCTGTTGTGCCAGGAGGGGCGTTTCTTCTATACATGCTCCCCTCATTGCACTTTGACATGATGATGATGATGATGATGTGAGTTGTTGAGTCGCGAATCTGGTGACTCAGATCATTCATTTTCAGACTTCCACTCCACTGTATGTCTGTCTTTCTTCAGGCTGGTGATTCCTTCATTCTGTGCATTGCCTATCCACTGATAGGCATGCCTCTCTCTCTCTCTCTCTCTCTCTCTCTCTCTCTCTCTC